CCTCGTACAGGCAACGAAGTCTGGGGCACCAGTCGGAAACACTGAGCGCATACAACCGGCTGGGTACGACTGGAGATGTTTGCGGGAGTAATTGTTGGAAGAAGAAGACTGTCCATATCACAAAGTCCTTAGAAGTCAGTTGACTTGGTAGCTATTATACAAAGTCCTGATGTTCAACTGGTGTCCAACACTCGTTCAGCTAAAGGAAATTGCAAAACGGGTATATACCCGAGACGGGGAACGATGATTTTGCTAGCACAGTTATCCTAGCACAGTTTTCTGATAGCCACCATTAATTAAGACGAACATGGCTTCTGTCGCCGGTTGCTCAGCCGATCGCGGTATAGCCACACCCTCCCACAACAAGAGGAGAGAGGGTGCGGCCATTTTCGTTCACAGCGTATTACGTAAGCAGAACGCAGCGTGCTGGTATAGAGCGTTGCGGTTAAAACTGTTTCGCCCTGCAATGCGGCCTACGCTCGCTCTGTTTAAATTCATTGACATTTTTCAGATTACACCACACACAGATCAAGAAAGACAAACACTTGCTCAACTGTATGCATATAACACAGAAGTGTCGGAAATTGGCTAGCTCAGTTCTTCACAACTAGAACAAATGGTCTCCATCTCTGGCCAAGCGTTCAGTATGGTGGGCGTCCGTTGTGAGACCTCACTACAGAATAGGGAACCACTCCTTCCATGATTTTTTTGCTGTTCATTGTAGCGTACATGAGAACCTCATCTCGTGTAGTAATGCCACTCAGGTAAGCGCTATTGCAATCACTTTCATGTAGTTCGTAGATAACTTGCTTTCTTTCCGCCTTAATCTGCCAAAAACAAAGTCAAGCCAGCACTTTCATGTACCTAATTATGTAAATACCATTCCTTCGTCCACTGGTTTAAAACCAAAGTGTGTCCTATGATGTTGGTCGATTCCATGCCCTTTGATGTGCGTACCGCTGCACTACTGGCCTTCTCCTTTCTTTACTGCAAAAATATAAGCAGTATTAGCATAAACTCAGCACTAAAACACAAGTTGTTACTTTTATGAAGCAGGCCTTTTGTTCCCGAGGCAGTGTTATGGTTCCTCCGGATGGTAAGCATTGGTCTAGTTTTATCCCAGTGCTTTCATCAAACCTCACTACTGACAATCTTTTCTTCATTTACATGTGTGATGACATCCAGTAACTTGATTTGTCTATCTTTCAGTGCATGGTAGGCCGATGTCTTCAGTTCCACGCCCACAATTCTAAGCTAAAAATATAATGTTGCTTGAAAGGTGAAATAGGACAAATAAATACTGTACCCCATCATCTCCAGGGATTTCTGCAGTCAGTATTCCAAGTCTCTCCTTTGGATCTTTTGCAATGGTCTCCATCAACTCTGTGAACACAAAGCCACACATTCTGGTTTTCCGAGATACACATGTCACATACCATTTCCCCCATAATTAGCAGCAGCTGAACTTTTACTGCCGTTACTGCTACCTGAGGGCAGAGGACTTGCCTGAGATAGGTACGTGACCATATTCTTCCAGGCATGTTGCATAGGTGGTCCACTAGCAGAAGCAGGAGGCGGAGAAACATAGTGTTGTTGAAGGGGCTGCGACGCAGGGAAACCAACTGCCTGACCTACAACCAAAAAATGTGTATGAATTTGGGTCTCCTAGTGGCGTACCTGGCAGTGCAGAATCGAGATTGAGGTGTTTCGCTGGCAGATGGGTGCAGGTAGCACACTTGCTTGAGTGATCCAGTCTGTAATGCGAACAGGCACAACCTGGAAACACGCATCGCCCTCTATGAACTCCCCTCTCTGCATGTCAAATAGAATTCTAAAGTGATCTTTTGCTCGATTTTCTTGGGAAATCGTTCTCTAAATCGATCTTTTACTCGCGCGTGTAGCCTCAAGAAGTGTGTCTGTTTAACGTGTAACCGGTCCTAAAGACGTCATATCCGTAACCTTCTAGTGCGTGATGCGCAGCCTACTAAAATCCGCGGACTAAGGATGCAAATGACATTGATTGGCCGTACTGCGATCTGATTGGAGATCAAGATCTATGACTGAGACAAACGTGTGCCTCGCGGGAAAAAGGGGTGTTCACACGAAGTCGAGACACCAATCAGATCACAGACCGTCCAAATCAATGTCACGTGCATCCGCAGTCCGCCGTGTTCTGTAGAGGCATCACACACTGAAGAGTGGTTTGCGAGATCAATTACGAAATCAATTAGAGCGAAAAATCTAGTGAAAGATCGTTTACGAAATCGATTTGAGTGAAACATTAAGTAATTTTCTTCTCTCTGGGTGGATAGAACGAAAGAGTCAAAAATAGAGGGATTTCGTTTACTCTCATTCCAACACAAGTTATAGTGAAGTACCCACTTACGGTCATCTGTGCTCCCTGATTTCTTGGTCGCGAGAGCCGGCCCGGTCCCTTGCTTGTCCACTTTCCTCTGAACTGGTCTCGCAACCCCAGCCCCTTCCACCCTGGGCTCCAAACTGTGGGTACTCCTTGCAACAGCTGGAGGACTGAATGGAAATCGGGCAATAATCACATTAAGAACAGAGGCAAAGACAATTATACCCACATTGTTTAGGCCAGTGTGTATGTATTTCTAGGGACCCATCCAAACAAGATCAGACAATTAATTCGAACATACATACTTTTCCTCTATCTGAACATGTTCAGCAGGGCGGTGTCCACAGTACGCACAAAAGAATTTGTTATCAGAACGGTAGTCCACTGGAGGCACATATTTGGAGTACTGGCAGTCAATCTCGGGTGTCAATTTAAATGTGCCTATAAAGCCATCTGGTTTATATTGGCGATCCAAGTCAGTCTCGGGTGTCAATTTAAATGTGCCTATAAAGCCATCTGGTTTATATTGGCGATCCAAGTCAGTCTCGGGTGTCAATTTAAATGTGCCTATATAGCCATCTGTTTGCATAGGCCCTACACTTGAAGTTGATGCCAGATCGTTGAGTGGTTGAGCGACTGTTGGACTAGGCTCCTGGCCACTTGACGGACTACTGAGGATTTTGTCCTCATTTAGTTGGATGACACGATCAAGTAAGCTGATGTTGCCTTCCTTCATTTCACGGTGGGCTGGAGTACCTGTCTCAACCCCCACAATTCGCAGCTGTAACAATGGAGGTCCCAATGGATGCATTCATCATGAAGTGTTCGGACCTACCCCAGTTTCATTTGGAATTTGTGCCGCGATGATGCCGAGAGGTTCTTTTGGTCTCTTACTTATTGTTATCATCTTCTCTATAAGGACAGAGCAAGAGTAACTTTACAAAGTACAGCGAACTTTGCTACTGAAGAGTGGTTCGCGAGATCGATTACGAAATTGATTAGAACGAAAAATCAAGTGAAAGATCGTTTACGAAATCGATTTGAGTGAAAAATCAAGTAACCTTCTTCTCTCTGGGTGGATAAAACGGAAGAGTCAAAAATAAAGGGATTTCGTTTACTCTCATCCCAACACAAATTATAGTCAACTACCCACTTACGGTCATCTGTGTTCCCTGATTTCTTGGTCGTGAGAGCCGGCCTGGTCCCTTGCTTGTCCACTTTCCTCTGAACTGGTCTCGTAACCCCAGCCCCTTCCTCCCTGGGGTGGGTACTCCTTGCAACAGCTGGAGGACTGAATGGAAAATCGGGCAATAATCACATTAAGAACAGAGGCAAAGACTATTTAGGCCAGGTGTGTATTTCTAGGGACCCATCCAAACAAGATCAGACAATTAATTTGTACATACATACTTTTCCTCTATCTGAACATGTTCGGCAGGGCGGTGTCCACAGTACACACAAAAGAATTTGTTATCAGAACGATATTCCTCTGGAGGCACATATTTGGAGCACTGGCAGTGTTGACACTTGGCCCGCTTTATTCCCTGGGAGTCTTTCATTACTGGTACAGCTCTGAGCTAAATGAGAATCAGAAGAACGGACATGATTGTTGCACAGTGCACCAGATCAGCGGATAATACATGCTCACAATCTTTTGCAGTTTCTCCTGAGTATGTACTAACTCCCTGTCCTTTGCCAGCACTAAGCCACTCTCCTGTAGTCAGGACGACCATAACAGCTACATAATACTCTAGACTATAATATACACACTCGCTCTCTCATCTCCTGCTCTCTCCTGATAGTCTCTTCTGCCCTTGTTAACTGTTTTTCCTATACAGTGTTGCGAAATAGAAATTTTAAAGAGAAAGGAAACATCCTTTACCATTCGCCTCAGTTGCTGCTGAGCCTCAGCTAGCTCCCTGTCTTTTCCCTGCACACAAGATGGAGAAATTGAAGTTGGATGTTGGTTATGCAATGTTAGTCATGCTCTCTATTCTGTTAGCTATATATTATATATACCTGGTTTCTAGACAGTAGATCTTGCATACGGGATTGGGCATCAGCATTTTTTGTCACTAGGTCTCGGAGAACATGTTCCAAATTCTGGAAAAATGGAAAGCAGAAACTTTCAAACCCTGCCACCCATGAAATGTGCATGTCTTGCAGAACAGCGATCGATGGGTAATGTGATCCTTACCTGGTTCCTAGGTTGGCTCTGAAGAGTTCTTACCATCTCACATTTGTTCATCTCACTCTCGTGGCGGCTGAAACAACCTCTGGCCTCATCCAACAGACTCAGCACCTCGCTAATGCTTGGACGTTTGTGAGGACCATTGTGCAGGCATGCTGGATCACGTAAAACGAGAGGGTGGTCCCCACGGAGCTGGCCACAGGCACGGAGTTTCCCGTTCACGTGTCGCATGTACCCACTGCGTCGCTGGAGCTCAGTGCGAGCTACCAGCACCCCACTGTTCTCATTGAGATAGGTGGGAGAAAGAGGATCGCAGGGGAAGACTTCGCCGATAGTGAAAATGGCGACAACTCCAAGAGAGAAAGACGTCAATACTGGTATTGTACCTCGACTTTCAGCATTTGATTGGGTCGGCCAAAGGCCTCTGGAGGCATGTACACTAGCGCCCAGGCCCTTTGTCATGGTGGACTGCAGCTCTAACACGGGGCACAATACGAGCCACGCCCAGGTCAGCTATCTTGGCCACCATCCCCGAGTCCAGGAGAACGTTTCTGGCGACAAATCGCGGTGGATGACGGGCGGCGCCTGCCGTGGAGGTATGCTAGGCCGCTCGCTACATCGTGCAGCACGGAGCACTTGAGAGCCATGGTGAAGAAGGATAGCGTCGTGACGGCGCCGGACGGAGGGAGCGGATCAGGAACCAGCAGGTCATGAAGGCTCGTTAGCAGTCGCTCCATTACGAGAGCTGGCAGTCGGCGAGCCAGGGGAAAAGGCACACCTAAGAAACTGGACGATGTTCGGATGACGGAGAGTGCTCATCAACTGACATTCCTTCACGAACTCGGTTGCAGCTTGGGTAGATCCACAGTCGTCCCGTTCTCTTCTTGTAGGAAGGCGTAGATGGTTTGGCCGCTGCGCCCACGGGAAAAGACACCTCCTCCACTTTGCCATAGGCCCCGCCGCCAATTCTGGTGCCAGTGAGTTGAACGTCGGAGAGGACGAACGGTTTCAGCCCGGATAATCGCGAAGAAAACGTTCAGCCATGATCGATGCACCTCGTCGGTTGCGCCACGCCCCACGCCGTCGCGCGCATGCGCACACGAAATTACTGGTGGGCGGGGGATAGCAATGCCCGGATGGATCGGCTGAAAGTTGTCTTCTTTTCTAGCCTACAGCGCTCGACTTACCCAGACGTGTGCGTCCAGTGCGACAGTCGCACCACTGGGGGATACACAGCGACGACAAACGAAGGCTATCAGCTAAGGTTCTGCTCCCCCCAGTGCAGTCATGCCTACTGGGACGAATACGCGAAGTTCTCGCAATCTCCATCAACTTTATACAACACACAGCAAGGTCACTTTCAATGCATTTTGTAGGCTATGATTCACTTTGTGTCTAATAAGGGTTTTCTCCTCATTATACTGTACAGGTACAGGTGGTGGGGTCCCTAGCGCGAGTAAGTTCGTTACTGAGCTATATACTCCAACATGAATAAACATAATACACCTGTGTGAACATTAGGTGGAGGAGGAAGAGCTACTCAAACAGTAACACAAGGAATTCTATTTGTAACTCAAAGGAGAACCGGCTTGCCAAATACCCCACAATCTAATTCGGGGGCTCGGCTGTGTCGTCTTCCTGGCTGCACCAAGCCTTGCTACGTCGAGCGAGGCAGAGTCCATGACTACTGTAGCTATAGTCACGCAAGCGAGGATGCAAGATCACGTCGCACTGTGGAAATCATTATAGCTGCTACTGTTTTATTCTTTCTCTTTATTGTACTGTGGTCTTTTCTGTTGTAGAACATTTGAGCACTTGAGTTTTGCTGACACTGTGCTGTGCTGAATAACGTTCCTCACCGCTCTGCCGTAAACGTCCCCTAAGCGCGTTACCCCGACCCATTGAAAAATGTCGAAGAAGAACATTGGCCGTTGTGAGCGCCTTTCTTCGCGGCGAGAGAGTAATAGTAGAATGTGGAGACTGTCCATATCACAAAGTCCTTAGAAGTATAGTATTCTTAGTTGACTTGGTATAAAAAGTCCTGATGTTCAACTGGTGTCCAACACTCGTTCGTTCAAGGGAATTGCAAAACGGGACCCGAGACGGGGGAACGATGATTTAGCTAGCACAGTATCCTAGGACAGTTTTCTGATAGCACCATTCAGACGAAAATTGCTTCTGTCGCCGGCTGTGCTCAGCCGATCGCGGTATAGCCCACACCCTCCCTCACAAGAGGAGAGAGGTTGTCTGTGGCTCATGGAGCGGGGTAGGGCGGTCTAGACAATGAAAAACTGCCGACCAACTGTTTCGGAAACGATGGACCATGGTGTAACCGTGTGTGAGCCGAGTCTGAATGCCTTTCTGATTACGCTCACTTCCGCGAGGGGCGTCGGCCACCAAGTCGTGTGCATTCAATGTCATGGACGCGTATCGTCGGAAGCTACCTCACGTACTCATGCTAAGGATTCAAACTTGACTTCTGTTCTCGTAAATGCGGCCCACTTCATACTGGTACGAATACGGCCAACACCAGAAAACGCCACCAGCCGTCCCTCAAGGTGCGTTTGGTCCACAGCTACGACACACCCGTCGGTGCGTTCCTCCCTCTGCAGGTCCTCGTACGTGCAGACTTTCCCGGATGGCAACAAGCCTTGTTTTGTAGAGGGGACTAGAGTTCACGACACTACTGTGGGCTGTTCCCGATGCCCAGCAGGCGAATGCAGTTTGACAGCAGGGGCCGTTGCAGGACCACAAAACCTACGGTTCACACTCCTGCCACTCAGTTTATGTGAGTGCAAGGCAAGTTTGGGCAGAGTCATATGTATTTGCAAACCATGGAAAGGCCAAGGCAGTCCTGTTATATTGGCTTTGTCCTGGTGTTCCAAATGAGGTCAGAGAAGTCAGCTGCCAACTACAGTGTATAATGAAAAGCGCGCACTAACTAAAGTGCAAACCCTCGGCGAACTGCGCATGCGCGGTACCGCTAATTGACGGGGGCTGGCGCGTATATACCCACAGTCTCCCGTAAAATGCCTGCATTACACCCATGTCACACAATTGTCAGAGTAGCTATAAACTATCCATCCTACTCTTGCAGGCCCGATCTATTTCTACAATCGCGGAGAGCCGTACTATGAATTTACCAACTTCTATGAAATTATGGTCTGTATCGATGGGCAGGATTGGCTCACAACGGAGCACTACTTCCAGGCCCAAAAGTTTGTCGGGACTCCGCTGGTTCGCACCATTCGCCTCATGGAGCGACCTCGCGATGCGTTTGACAAGTCCCGCGACCCTCGCTACTCTCACTGGCGTCGCAGTGACTGGGAGGAGATGAAGGAAGACATCATGTTCAAGGCTCTGCAGGCAAAGTTCACTCAACACGAGAAACTCAAGCGGATGCTGGTGGGCACTAAGGACAGGCAGTTGGTGGAGCGCTCTCCCCACGACAGCTACTGGGGAGATGGTGGGGATGGTTCGGGGAAGAACCGACTCGGAGCACTGCTCATGAGACTACGAGACGATCTGACTCCAAAACCAGAAACCTCTCACCAATCCAATACCCATACCTGGCCTCCCTCTCCCCCTGGTGCAGTGCATTCTCACCGAACCACTTCACCTTCATCTCAGCATCAACCACTGCCGAAGTCTGATCGGTCCACAAAGCCGCACAGCTCACAGTCCTTGCCCAGACAAGATATGGGCAACCAGCACAAGAGTCGAGAAGCTGAGCTACGAAGTCAGTCCGCCTTCCAACAGAATCCTGCCCATTACAAGGCTCAACCAAGAGACTATCCACCTCCCACGTATCAGCAGCATTTGAGTAGTGCAGATTTCTCTGGCAATCCAAACTTACCTCCCACTTCTGAGCTAGTAGTACCAGGAGCCGTTGTTCTCCTATTCCACAACCAACTGCAAATACTTCCCAGATTTCTGTTGCATCCAAAATACCGCCAGGTTTCCATAACAACCCACCCAACCAGCAGCTGGCATCAATCCCAATAGGAAACCTCATCGATTTGTAACTTGCCATTGACATGAAGTACGTATAGCTACACTTTATAATGTCATGATAATTTTTGATGCGGATGCATCAGCGCGCGCGATGGATCCCGCGCGTGCACATTTCGTCCCGCGCATATAATAGCACGCGTCCGTGGGGATCTGCAGCCTGGAAAATGGCAGTACATTCAGTGACTACCACTACGTTGACTGTCGGTTCGACGTATTTTTATCCGAGGACGGACCTCGCGACGTATAGGGAGCATGGGCTGTGCGTACAGTGCCAGATGTATTTTCGGAGGGGCTTTTTGACCAGGACCAATCAAGGCCATCAACTCATGTTCTGTTCTTTCCAGTGCCGTGATTACTATCAGAAACAGTATGAAATGCACCCACTTGCATATGGAGTACAACCACCGAGTGCAGGTTAGCTAGCTCTGCAGTTGTGCAGCCACTGTGATAGTAGCTATCTATTTTGCCCTAGCCATACTTGCTGTGTATAGAAGTGTCTTGCATGCTATGATAGTGCATTGTACTACAGTTGCTTCCCTTTATGTAGGTCGTATATGCCGTTTTTCTGGGTGCAATAGGCCTTGTTACGTCGAGGGATTGAGGGTGTATGATTATTGCGGGCGCGCCCATGCCGAGCAGGATGCAGCAATTCGACCCTCGAGTGAGTTAAAAATAATAACCAATTTCTCAAATTCATATAATATTTTCATCTTCATAACAGAAGTAAGACTAGAAGAGTTAGCATTTGACAGTGCCGAGTTTGGAAGTCTCAAAACCAAATTACAAAATCCTGGTGTTCCGAAAAGGGAGAGCTTCCCACAGTAAAGCATATTTTAAAAGTTATCAATCCACAGCTGGATCAAATATTCAACGGCTATGTTTCCGGATTGCCAGTGTTTCAAAGGGAAATAGAGCAGCTATTTCATGGGACATCTCTCAGGTGTGTGATGCCAAGAGCAGCACCCTGCTCCAACGATGGATGTGGAGTTTGCAGCATATCAACGACGGGTTTTGACCCCGAGCAGATACGCACCGCCGCATGGCAAAGGTTCGGAAGCGGTTTCTATTTGCCACCAACTCGTCCAAATCTTATGATTACCCGCTCTCACTGTATCAGTCCAAGTCTGCACAGCCCAGATACCGCTGTATGCTGGTGTGCGACGTCGCCCCTGGACGAAAGCATATCAAGCGCGAGAAATGCCGCTTCTCTTGAAGGACCACCACAAGGTTCGACTCGGTTCATGGGAGAGCGAAATCACGCAAATACATATTTTGGAAGGAAGACTCATCCATGAATTATGATGAAGTTGTGGTCTATCGTTCTGAAGCAATTCGACCACGATATATCCTTATCCTTCAAAACACCACTTGGACCTCTCCATTTGTGTGACAATTACTTTGTTATGTAGCTAGAACTAGAGCAAGTCAAACCTGCATTGTAGCAATTTGCTAGTATACATTATATCTCTATAGCAAAGAACACCAAGGGAGGTCTACTCAACACCAGAAAATTGGACGCGAGTGTATGTGTGGCCACCCTGCACTCCCTCAGTGCTGGGAATTACAAAAAAGTACCAGCCCTTCCATTGGCCCAGACTATGATTATTTGTGGTGATCTCCCTGGAGGAAACAACCTCCTGATAAAATTTTATCAATCTCACAGACACTCCTGCACACATCCCACACTATGATAACAAGGGCTCGTCTCTCTGCCCGTCCGCTACAAGTCTTACGTAAAAGAAACGTTAGCGTACCGCATCCGTAATGTGCACGTAATGTGCACGCCTATCGCGACGGCGGTCGGACAGTCCTCCCTTTGTTCCTGGGGTGGGCTATGGAGAAGTATCTAAAAAGTATCTATAGAACCATAGAAAGGATCTGGACTCCCGACGTGTGCGTTCAATGCCACACGCGTTTTTCTGGAGGAGGCTACTTCGCCACGACAAAGCAAGGCTACGAACTGGTTTTCTGTACCCTCAAGTGTGGTGACGACTATTGGGAAGAGTACGGAAAGTTTGGGCGAAATCCAACAGTGTTCATGCAACGAGGTTAGTAACTTTGTTTTACCCGCGTTGGCCACACTAGCTGTGACGTGTCCTTACGAACAAATTTGCGCGTCGTTCGTCTCGTGCAGGTCCCCGCACGTGCCGTCTTCCCGGCTGCAGTAAGCCATGTTATGTGGAGGGAAACGGCAAAGTTCACGACTACTGTGGGCGTACCCATGCCCAGCAGCACGGAGCCATGTCCTCCCCTCGAGAGGGAGGAAGATGGGGAGCGGGAAGGACCACTGGGTATGCCAGGCAAGGCTCACATTCCGGTGAGTCTCTGAGTACTAAGTACACTACACTTCATTGTTTTTCTAAACTGCACCTGTGCAGGATGGGATAACCAGACAGGCCCGATCTATTTCTACAACCGTGGAGAACCGTACTATGAATTCACTAACTTCTATGAGGCCATAGTCGAAATTGACGGCCAAGATTGGCTCACAACGGAGCACTACTTCCAGGCCCAAAAGTTTGTCGGGACTCCGCTGGTTAGCACCATTCGCCTTTTGGAGCGACCTCGCGAGGCGTTTGACAAGTCGCGCGACCCTCGCTACTCCCACTGGCGTCGCAGTGACTGGGAGGAGGTGAAGGAAGGCATCATGTTCAAGGCTTGCAGGCAAAGTTCGCTCAACACCAGCACCTCAAGCGGATGCTGGTGGGCACTAAGGACAGGCAGTTGGTGGAGCGCTCTCCCTACGACAGCTACTGGGGAGATGGTGGGGATGGTTCGGGGAAGAACCGACTCGGAGTACTGCTCATGAGACTACGAGACGATCTGACTCCAAAACCTGTAGTTCGAGCTCCTTCTCCCAAACTTCCAATCCATCCTGGATCTCCCCGCTGCTCATCTCCAGTCAAAAATCCTCCTCAGAAAAAGGCCCCAGTTGAAAGTGAATCGGCAAAGCAAGAGATTGAAGAGTGGCACGAGCTGAAACCTCTTTCCAAGTTAGCACCTTCACAACAGCCGAATCAAGATGGGCCCAAACACGGCCCACACTCCGAGCAACCAACACAGCCTAATAACGGCCGAAATGAGCAGCACGATGATGGTTTAGCACCACAACCCACCGAGCAGCATCCGCTACAGCTGGATCTACTAGCAGATGCCATGAACTAATCGCAACTAGCGAGTTCTGAGAGTCAGGTGGTCTCTTTCACGCACTTCCGGGCAGCACGGGGCCCGCCGTTTTGAGCTTTTACCACTGTACTTCTCCTGCCAATTTTGTCTTTCCACTATTCATTCAGTTCTTTTTTTCAGGGGCCGGAACCTTTGACACTCGGGGTTTAACGCCTACCCGTGTGATGCCCAACTATATGGTGACCCGTCCGATCCCACTTCCATGCTTGCCCCATTCTCAAAACACACCCGCGACCCATGCAA